GTGGATGTTTCTTTATTATCGTACAGTTATATCGACACCCACACCCTCAAGAAACTCAGTTTTTGAACATGAATGAAACTGGCGTCATTCATAGTATTGGCAGAGAAGAAAAGTGTTCAATTAAATATTTACATAGGTTTTTTGAATCTTTCAGATACCGGACTGTTTCCAGAGTGTCATAATAGAGAATTAAACGAAAAAACCTTGTTATAACGTCCAAGCACATTAGATAGCAAGTGCTACATTACCGAAGATTCAGATAAAATGGATCCGAACGATAAACTTTATTCTGTTGGTGGTATTGGTTTTCAAAAAGAATTTCGTGATCCACGTGTTGAACTTGGTGAAATTGAACGCACAATATTAAATGCATCATCAAGTGTAACCAATTGTGTTGTCATTAAATATCAACAACAACCAGGAGGTCAAGAACATTTAATTACATACGTTCAATCGTCGTCGTCATCGTCCTCACCAGACGAAGGAATGATTACCATAAAAGAATTGAAACATATTTGCCAACAATATTTATCATTATATATGATGCCTATATGGTTTGTTATTCTGGAACAATTACCATTGGATACAAACGGAAAAGTTGACCATAAACAATTGCCAACACCTGATTTGTCACAATTAACACAGCAACATGATGACAATACTAATGAACCAAAGGAGCAAATACATACTGAAATACATACATTTTGGAATCGACTTTTATCTATTGATAAACTGTCAATGAAATCAAATTTCTTTTCAATTGGTGGCAATTCATTACTGTTAGTAAAATTGTACAATTATTATTTATCAAGATTTTCACTTAATCAACAAATTATCAATCTTGCAATGTTATATAAACAACCAACTATTATCGAACATATTCAATTAGTAAAAAATGCTTTGTTAACATCGACCACTGATACTTTCCCATCGAAGAAAAAAAAATGGAAGCCATTAAACATTATGCATAGTAAGTTGTAAGCTTCACCTAGGCGATTTTTCTTCGTGAAATATGAGAAATTCGATGGCAATCTCAAATAAAACATTCCTTAAAAGAAACAGAACTATTCTGACCGCAAAAATAATAGCTTATTAATTACAATTTTGTCCCTCCAACTAGGAATCATTAGACACTCACCCACACCCAGCTTTTGACGATTTGCTTTCACAGGGTTTAACTTGATTTCTAGAAGTCTAATTTCAGAGTTGGATAGATCAGTCATAGACGTATTCATGTCAACATGTAAGATTTGGTAAAAGAAGGTGAGGGCATGTTCTCCTGAATGCCACTTGTGCGAACTCCGCTTCGATCCATACTTAGCGCATGTCTATGCACCACTATGTTTCCCTAGGGAGAATCTTTGATGTTTCAGCGCAAGATCCTTGACAGATATGATCAAGATCCTGTAAGGATTTGCTGTTTTTCCTGAGGAAACGACAAATCCTGAAAGAAGTGCGCGAGGATTGTTTTGCACGGATCCTGCCAAGATTAAATACCGGATTTTTCAAAGATCTTGCCAGGTTTCCATCAAAGTTTTCCCCGAATCCTTTCAAGATTTTTGCACTTGTGACTAAAAATTTTTTCAAGCTCCATTCAGGATAATACCTCATGCTGCCAAACCTCATGTCTAACTATCGAGAAGGATCCTGTCAGAATTTGCTACAAATCAAGGATTCGCATTTTATTAGTTTATATTTATATAATTTAAACTTACCGAAATCGTGGCAGGATTGCGTCAGGATCGTAGCAGGTTTTCCAAACAGAACGAATTAAATGTGAACATATAGAGTATCGAACTCTAGACCTTCAGTTCATAAACTGAACAGCTAACCCAGCTGGAGTGTGTTCTCGTTTAGCAGTGATGTAACAAATGATTTTTATGTTTCTTTTCTTTTTTTTTCTTTTTTTTCCTATTTTTCCAATTTAATGTTTCATAATTTTAATTATCATTTATTCATTAATAGATCAATCCTAAATGTATCCAACTTGTTTTTACATTATTTTTTCAATTCAAAAGTTTGATAAACTATTTTTTTTAAATTAATTAGTAGATCCAAATTATGCGTAATTTCTATTTTACTACTTATTTTATTCATATCCACAATCAAAATTTTCATAAATTAATTATTTATTTATTTTATCATTCGCCGAACTCAGAACAATATGAAATAAATTTTAGTACAGTGAGGTGGGGGAATTCGGATCAGAGCTACCAAGAAATCACCTTGTTTATCTTCTTTCTCCTCTATTATACATCGTATAGAAGAAATTATTTTTAAGAGAAGTAGAGTGAGATCTTCTCTATCAAATCACGAAAGAATTACCAAAAAATCATTTACTGTAAAAAAGTATCATGAAAAATACTAAAAGCAACTTTGAGATGATCCGAGTTACCCCAAATGGGGTAATTCGGATCATCTAGGTAATCAAGGTGGGGTAATTCGGATAATTCCAGCAAAAACATCAGTAGTATTTTCCCCCATCTCATAACTCATTTTTTATCCATCTTCGAAAAATTACTAAATATACCATTCGATAGCTCAAAGTGTCTACTATGGGACCTGAGAATATTTCGACGATTCAGTGAAACGTTGATGATGAAATATCAGCTACATTGACACCTCCCTTCAGTACTTTTTAAAAACTAAAAATGAATTCGGGGTAATTCGGATCACTCCAGCTATTTCACCTGGGGTAATTCGGATCATTAAAGCTATTTTTCATGCTGATTTTAAATCTAATTCTAACTTTATAGCAAAATAATTACCATATTCGGAATCAGCACAAAAAACTACCCGAGAACATATACATTTCAGCAAAAAAACATTTTTTATGAAAAACAGCTGATGTCTCCCCCAAGGAATTTTTTCGCAATATTGGGCTGAGGTCCCCTCTTGGATGTTTTAAATCAGCATGAAAAAATAGCTTTAATGATCCGAATTACCCCAGGTGAAATAGCTGGAGTGATCCGAATTACCCCGGGTAAATTGCTTAGATGATCTGAATTACCCCGAATTCATTTTTAGTTTTTAAAAAGTACTGAAGGGAGGTGTCAATGTAGCTGATATTTCATCATCAACGTTTCACTGAATCGTCGAAATATTCTCAGGTCCCATAGTAGACACTTTGAGCTATCGAATGGTATATTTAGTAATTTTTCGAAGATGGATAAAAAATGAGTTATGAGATGGGGGAAAATAGTACTGATGTTTTTGCTGGAATTATCCGAATTATCCCACCTTGATTACCTAGATGATCCGAATTACCCCATTTGGGGTAACTCGGATCATCTCAAAGTTGCTTTTAGTATTTTTCATGATACTTTTTTACAGTAAATGATTTTTTGGTAATTCTTTCGTGATTTGATAGAGAAGATCTCACTCTACTTCTCTTAAAAATAATTTCTTCTATACGATGTATAATAGAGGAGAAAGAAGATAAACAAGGTGATTTCTTGGTAGCTCTGATCCGAATTCCCCCACCTCACTGTACTTCTTCATCATACATAATTAATCTTGAGAGTTTGTTTGAATACATAAGTTTAAAAAATCTGAAGTGAGATTGCGAAAAAATTCAATAAAAAGACGGGAATATTGTTCCACAAATTCTTAACAGGATCCTCAATACAACTGATTAAAAATCTTGCTAGGATCTTGAAAACTAAAATGTGAATACATTTGATATAAGAACCTGCAAAAATTCTATCTAGATCCTCGTATTTTCTCATCAAGATCCTGGTCATATTTATTTGACATCCTCAAAATTTGTAAGGTTTGTTCTTAACGAGTTCTCAGCAGGATCTTGACCAAAGCTTGGCAAGATTTTCTTCTTTAGAATTTTGAGTTATCTTATTTTAATTTTGAAAAGATCGTAGATTAATATAACTACAATTCCTGACATAATTTACATAAGAGGTTCTGGAGCATATCTTGACTAAAACTTACTGAAGTTTTGATTGAATTCTTGCAGGATCTCGGGATATCCGTTAAGGAGAAACGCTAAGCAAGAACTATAGCAAATCTTAGAACCAATATTGACAGGATCCTTCAAGTATTAAATTTATAGGGATCTTTCTATGCTTTTTTCAAGAAATGGACCCCACGAATAGAAAAAATAGTAACCTTCAAAGATCTCAGCCTGATTCTCGTATTTTCTTTTAACAATCCTGATTAGAATTGGCAATTTCTTGTAAGTGTGAAAACATTTATTCTTAATAGGTTCCGAAGAAGTTCCTAATAGGAATCATCCAGGATAAATAAGTTTTGTTTTATGACTGATCCTTTTATTTTTCTACTAAGATGATAGTCTGACCTATCAAGAATCTTGGCACGAGTCTAGTAGAAATATTTAGTCCACATATTGGTAGAACCTAGTAGAATCTTTTTCAAAATATTTCTTTACAATCTTTTCAGGATCCTTCGCAAGATCTAGACGAAGTTTTCTCAGGATTCTTCATTATCAGTTCAGAAAAATATCTGAGAAGGATCTCGAAATTTTTTGAAAAGGATTCTGTAGTTTCATTTGATAAAAAGATCTTGGCAGGAATTTGAACCAATCCTGAACACAATTCTGTATATTATTTCAGTAAAAGATCTTGACAGGAACCTTAACCAATCCTGGATAGGACCTTGTTTTACTTTAAGATATCCTTGAAACAAGAATTTTCAGGATTTGAGACAGGATCCTGGATGAAACTTGTTAAGATCCTTGAGAGTCAGGATCCTGAAAGATCCTTCCATGTTTTCTCAAGGAATGAACATGATTGAGACTAGGGTTACCTCTTTGCACTGAACTCATTATTATCTGCATAATAACTGTTAAAACTTTCTTTTTCTGTGCATGTCTAGATTTTGCATCATTCGCTCAAGAGCGTATATGGTTAGATGAACATGTGCATTTTAAAAAAACTTCGAATGCCATTTATAACTTACCTCTTCTATTGAAACTGACGAAAGGTGATCTGTTCATTGATCAGTTGTGTCGATCACTCAATGAATTGCTAAGAAAGCATTGTATTTTGCGAACATCATTGCAATATGATTTGGATAATGAATGTTTAATGCAAACAATTAAACCAATCACCTTGGAACAAGATTTATATTCATTTGAAATCAGTTATATAAGTGATCGAAAAGAAGAACTTGAATCAATATATAACGATGAAGTTGTGAACCGAAAGTATTTTAATTTAAGTAGCGGTATTGTTTTTCGATGTCATCTTATTCGAATAAATAACAGTAATAATACTACTACGGATCAAAACATATTGCATGAAAACGATTATATTCTGTTTAATTTCCACCATATCGCCTTTGACAGTTATTCTACCACACTTTTCTTGAATAACTTTAAAATGGCTTACGCTAACAATGAACTCTATCAAACATTCGATGATAGTTGTTTACAATATATCGATTACGCTCAATATGAAAGACAAATGTTCAATGATGAATATCCATCTACTATGATTCAGTTGGCACGCCAGTACTGGAAACAACTTTTAGATGGGTACGATAGTACCAAAAAACTTCAACTACCATATGATCATGTTGTTGAAATGCGTAGTGGACACAGTTCAGCCGTTACCTTTGCAGTTGAATGTTACACTCCTGCTATTCATCAGTATTGTGCCGAAAATGGCTTTACAGTTTTCGCCGTATTTATGGCATGTTATTACGTCTTTTTATTCAAACTGACAAATTTTGACAACGATATTTGTATTGGTGTTATCAACGCTAACAGATATCGTCAAGAGTTAGAGAACATTATTGGTATGTTTGATAATTTAGTTCCATACAGATATACAATCGCTGATAATTCAAAAGTGACATTTGAGCATCTGATGGCGGAAGTTCATAATTTATGCTCAGAACAGCTGCAATATGCATATTTACCTTACCAGGATATTTTAAAACTTTATCCAAGTAGCCACGAAAATTCAACTGTTATTCAGGCCATGCTCAATTATAGTGTTAACAAGTGTGCTAACTTACAGATGGGTGACGGTCGTATTTGCACTCTTATCACGAAACTACCTTCCGGTGTGATCAAAAATGATTTAACACTAAGTATCTACGAAGATGAGCATAGAACTTTATCATGTTCATTCGAATATGCAACGGACGTTTTTGAGCGAACAACAATTGAAACGATGTGTTGTAGATTTCAGGCTCTGTTACAGCAGCTGTTTATTGGTCAGAAACGACATCAACCGCTGCATGAATTATCATTTCTTTTATCAAACGAAGTACAGCTAATCAACGATATGAATTTAACCGAATACGCCGACAAACTATTTCAAAGATGCATCCACGAAGAATTTTTCTTATCAGCTCAAATGCATCGAGACAAAATTGCTATAATCTATGAAGAACAATGTTTTACGTATGCTAATTTAGCTGAACATGTCAAATGTTTAGCCATAAAGTTGGTTAAAGATCATCATGTTAAAGCGGGTGATATAATAATACAAGTAATTGAAAGATCATTTGAAATGGTTGTTGGAATTTTGGCTATCATGGCTACAGGATGTATTTATTGTCCTTTGATGTCATCGAATCCACCGCAGCGTATTTTAACTTTAATAAATGATACAAAGTCGCATACTATTTTAATACACTCAGAAACGAAATCAAAATTTGAGTCCATTGCTATCGAATTGGAAAGCAAAGGCATTGAAATAATTAATATCGAAGAATATGTCTATGGCAGTTATAGCGTCGAAAATCCATGTGAGAAACTGTCACCAACTACTACCAAGCCAGAAGACATCGCCTATATCATCTACACGTCAGGCTCAACAGGTATTCCGAAAGGCGTTCTGACACGCCACAAAAGTTTTTTGTTGTGCATTGACGCGTATGTTAAGACAAATATACTGCAGAACAATGATGTTGTCATTCAAACAACTGGATGTTCATGGGATATACATATCAAAGAAGTTGTTGGTACACTATTAGTTGGCGCTCAACTTGTCATACCAAAATCTTCTATCGAAATGGATTATTTAACAAAATTGATTCAGAATCGAAGTATTACTTACATACATACGGTACCGACATTTACGAATACACTTTGTGAATACTTGGAGAAAAACATGCAGTTCGATCGTATTAAAACAATACGCTCATTCTGTTCAATTGGTAAGTTTGCCCTAAAGTCGACCATAAAACAGCCGCTCACTATAGTATAGCTCAGAAAACATTGTTCACTATCGTTGATAAGTATTTTGATTGAAGTGACGTGGCCATCAAGTTTTAAGAAACACCTGAGATGTTTTTGATTATTCTTTGAAATTGAAATAATCGTCAACGAAAAGCCTGAAATAAATATTTAGCTTTCTTTGTCATCTTATACATAAAGTCTTGCTAGCAAGTTTTCTGAACAATGAATCTATCATTCGTAGCTAGAAGTTAGCGCGAACGAAAATATCACGCTCTTATTTAAATAATGACCGTTTACTTTCTATTTAGGTGAAGCTATGGAACCAAAAACTATAGCAAAACTGATGGCTCATTTAGATGAAAAAGCAACAATCTACTCCCTTTATGGCACAACTGAGTGTGGTATTGCATCAACGTATTACATCGTCGCCCAGAAAGATCTAAATTCAAAAATTATTCCAGTTGGATCTCCCTTTCCGAATTATGTCTGTTACGTTCTCGATAAATTTTCAAAACTGGTTGGCGTTGATCAAATAGGAGAGATCTATATTGGAGGTAAGATATTTTCTAGGGATATACAGCTCGTACATGTACGTTTTTAATCTTCTTTCAATATACGATATATCGCCATTAAGGAATCAACGTCTACTGGTGTTTTCTATTTGTCACATAAATCGATGTTATTTTAAGGAGTGCTTGTTAGAGGACAGCTCAATCTCATACAGGATAGACTAGAGTTAAAAGAATTTTCAAGTTCTCCAGCTCAAACAAGACAATCATGTCATGAGATTCTGAAGTCAAAAGATTACTTTTTCTGATGATTGAAAAATGCCAAAAGTCACAATCTTGAGATTGTGAATGTCTACTCTCTCTATTCACATTCACATCTTTAGATAGCTCAGCTTTCTTTTCAATAACAGTGAAAAAAATTCTATATTCAATAGGCGATGGTCTTATGGCCGGATACCTCAACAGAGATGATTTAAATGAAGGAGTCCTGCTCAGTATTCCCGAAATTACAAAACGAAAATTATACAAGACAGGTGATTTAGCACGAATAAATTCAGCGGGTGAACTATTGATTATGGGACGTTCAGATTTTCAAATAAAACTTCGCGGACAACGCCTTGAAGTGGGTGAAATTGAAGCAGTGGTATGTCGAGCAGTACCAGCAAGTATTTCCAAATGTTACATCATGAAACAAACCTACGAAGAAAATCATCAAGATTATTTAGTAGCTTATATTATGGCGCCTGACATATCTGCCGAGGCTGACAAAATTTCTTTGAAACATCAAATTATAGAGTATTGTCAAACACATTTGCCGGTGTACATGAATCCATCTATATTTATCATTATGCCATATTTACCATTAAATCCAAATGGTAAAATCGATCGAAAACAACTACCAAAACCAGATTTTGCGCAGCTGCACGAGAGCAATCTTGATTATCTCGAGCCAAAAAATGAACTAGAACAAGAAGTTCACAATTTATGGTGCAAAATACTACATATTGATAAAATGGTGTCCATGAAATCAAATTTCTTTTCACTAGGTGGTAATTCATTGCTACTAATAAATTTATATAATTACTATCAATCGCAATTTTTGATCAAAGAACTGAATATCTCAGATTTATTTAAAAAGTCGACAATTTTGGAACACACACACCTGGTATTAAGATCAATTCAGGTTATGGAAGCGTTAACGATACCACATACAGATCAGTGGAAATCACTCAATTTGAATAATGGTAAGGCTCACTTATTTCGAAGGTTTACGACAGAGACTAAAGAGTAACAATGTACATTGTTACTACCTACATTCAATTAAATCTTAAAACTGTCTTTATGTGCTTGTGCACGTTTCAGAGTATTTTCTTTACTTTTTTGAGAAAAGTTGAGTCTTGACGGAAAATATTATGCTTATTCGGACGATAAAGTATCAACCATTAATTATCTTTACAAAAAACCGTTTTCTCGAAAGTACCCTCACTATGACTTCCATATGTCTTGTTACAGTGGTTATTTGTAACGTTCAATTTTATTTTATTTAGCTATTGCTTCATTTGTTCAAGAACGGATATGGTATAACGAAAATATAAGATTTAGTCAAAGTCGCTATGCAATGTTCAATGTACCATATCTACTAAAAGTTATTAGTGGTCAGATCACAATACGCCAACTAAAATTAGCAATTTCACATATCATCAACAAAAACTCGGTATTGCGAACGTCATTGAACTATGATTCGAATGACCAATGTTTAAAACAAACTCTTAAACCAATGCTAATTGATGATGATCAGCATCCATTGTATTATACGTTCGAATGTACTTCGATCTTGAATAAGTCAGAACTAGAAGTTATATTATTTAACGAAGAAACAAATCGAACTTATTTTGATTTAAATAAGGGTGTTGTTTTTCGTTGTCGAATTATTCAGTGTTCTTCAGCTCCTAATAACGATTTATTGAGTACAAACGACTACGTAATATTCAACTTTCACCATATTGCATTTGATGGAAGCTGTGTAGCACTATTCTTCAATGATCTTCAACTAGCGTTTGGTAACGACAATTTTGTATATAGTCCTGAAGACTTTTTACAATATACTGATTATTCTCAATATGAAAAAACGATAGATATGACCAAAGCGAAAGCATTCTGGAAACAACTTTTGAGTGATTACGACCTTAGTGGAGACTCACAGCTACCGTATGATTGCCAATTAACTACAGATTCCAAGCGCACAGGTCTATGTACCTGCATAACATTTGAGCTAGATAAATGTGTAGTTGATACAATGATTGAATATGCTCGAGAATTACAAGTATCTATGTTTCAGTTGTGTCTGGCAACTTTTTTTATTTATTTATTCAATGTCACGAACGGCAGAACCGATCAGTGTGTGGGTAGCGTGAATGCAAATCGTTACCGTAAAGAATTACAGACGATTCTTGGAATGTTTGTTAACTTATCGCCATACCGACTGAAAATCGATCCAAACTTATCATTTCAAGATATAGTCTTACAAATACAGCAGCAGTGTTTAGAAGTATTACAACATGCCTATTTACCTTATCAAGAAATATTGCAACTTCATGGACAGATAACTGGAAATCGCTTACCGTTTATTGAAACGTTTTTTCAGCTGGAAACTTCAACAACATCTAGCAACGATATTATTTTAGGCAACGGTACAGTGATACGACCACTATTAAATAATGAAGATGTAATACAGAAACACTACACATCAATATATGATTTAGCATTACTAATAAACTATGATTTCGAAGCTCGATCAATGGAATGTTCATTCAGTGGTGCCAATGATTTATACACTCCACAAACGGTGAAAAAATTATCTGAAAGATATCAAATTTTATTATCACAGCTATTCGCTTCATCCTTTGATAGAAAACAATATCTATTAAAGCAATTGTAACCAGAAAGAAAAGAGCTATATCTATCGTGCTCTCTACGTACCTATTCAAGCTTCCCAATTTATCACTTTAAGGACCATATATTTTTTTAACCAAGCTTTTTATAATATTTCTTAATATATTTATTTTAATTATATAATTTCTATTTTGATTAAAAATTTCAACAATGAACGATGAAGTGTTTTCGGTAGCAGAGTTATTTGTAGCCCTTTAAGGACTGGTTTACTTTATAAAACAATTATTTTTTAAAGTTTCTCAGTATTTGAATATATCGTGAGTACGAAAAGGTGATGAACTGTTTTTTTCTTCATGATATGCAAGACGTTCCTATGCCTGTATCTATATAAGAATTATAAATCTGACGAGATCATTCAGTTAATAAGTTTGATGATTTTTCGAAACACTACCTTCAAAAGGACAGCAAATAATATCTGTGACGATTTTTGAGAGAAGACGTGCTTGTGTTGATGAAACTAAGCTTTACTCAACTTCCTCAGATGAATAAACTGTATAGTTTACAACAGAAACATCCGCTTATGTGCGCCATTACAAGGCAAAAAAGAAAGAGAGAGGGATAGGAACAAAAGAGAAAAGACATACGTATCACCACATCTTGAGAGTGGGTGTGTTTATTCTCTCTCAACTCGTGCCCACATCCTTACTCACAACTACCCTTAAAGCTGGGCAATTCAACTTAAAAATGTGTACAATTCCATTCGATTCATTGAAAGAAAAATTCAGTTCAACTGAACTAGACGATCTCTGAAAAACTTACTCTGCTCACCTCAATTCAGTGTTATTACAAAATCCAATGTAATCAATTTTTCTCTTATTTATGCTTAGCTGCACACGTTAAAAGAAGTTTATTATTGTTGATTCTAGCGAAAAAATCGTTTTTTTTACAACGAAATACAACAGGATAATCAAAAACTTCGGATGAACAAATGAATAAACACCTAGGATCTAACAGAATTAGTAGATATATCGGTGTATTGAAAACATTCCTAGGTAGAGCTTATAAATGTATCAGGCAAATAAAAGAAAAATTATTTTTTTAAAATATCAATTATTTATTTCAATGAAAACATCATACCGATTGACCTTTTATTCACTCTACGATAAGAATTGACTTTTCTAACATATATCTCATCACAATAAATATCATATATCCGTTATCATATTCATGATATATTACATATAAAGAAACTCTACCTTCTCCAGATACAATAGTTTTCTTTTTCAACAATATATGTCGCTTGATATGTATTGCTTACCTTACATATGCGTATCACTACCCATTTCTGTGCTCAACAAGATTAAAGTTTCTTTGTACGCGCTCACATTTAAACAATTCTTTTCTTCTTTAAAAAGTTTATTTTTTCACTTTCACAAAATAAAATTCATAGCAATACAATTTATTATTTGTTCTTTACATTTTTGAGGTTTTTTCTATATTTTCGAAATCGGGATCATTTGAAGGTAATGATTGTTGTACAATTTGTATAACATGCTCATAACATGTACGGGCTTCCAGATAATTACCCATCTGCTTATGCACATTACCAATGTTGTTGTAGGAAGCAGCCAAATCAGGATCATTGGGAGGCAGTGATTGATGTTGGATTTCAAGGGCTTTCTCATAGGATGAAAGTGCTTCGGTGTAATTCTCCATGCTGACATGCACTATACCAATGTTGTTGTACGAAGTAGCCAGATCAAGATGATTAGAAGGAAGTGATTGTTGTCGAATTTCAAGAGCTTTTTCA